CTAAAGAAAGAACATAAAAGATATGTGTTTTACACGTTGATTCATGTTGCTAGGAATAAGCATGTGTATGTGTGTGCGTGTGTGCGAAAACAATTCTAGAAAATAGTAGGTATATCATGCCTTGAGGAAAGCTATCAGATGCACGCGCGTGGAGTAAGCTGGAAAAGAAGAAATAAAAGGGAGCGAGAATCGCTTTGTTTCGTTCCTATCGAGCTATAAAATCTCCGAGAATGCGTACAACCAAGGAGTTTTGTAGCAGCTTCAACGTGTGAAATATGGAGACTTATACTCTAATAAAGATATGAATATGAGTATCATCAATATCTAAGTCCCCTCCAGTCGTATGGAAATTCAGTAATAAAAAAGGAAGATGATAAGAATAGACAATTTTGTAGAATACAGTATACTTATTAAATTTTTTAAACGGCGTATGTAATGTTTATCCTACCGCAATTATTGCAATTGCGGTGCACAAGAATTGTAGATAAGCGGAAGGGACAATCGATTTACGCTTTCGCGAAAGTATCATTCGCATTTGCACGGAATCTTGGCCGGGGCCACCGCGTATCAGACCTTTTTCTTCGATATGCAGCAGTAACCAGCCCCAACGCGACAAGAATACAAAATACTCCGGCTATTTTCCGGAAAGCTGCTCCATGAAATTCTGAAAAGGTAGAAAATATACGGGAAACTATTACACGGAGTATTTCTTCCACGAACTCACTTGTCAGCGAGGTCATAGCAATTTGTATCATGGCTATATAGCTGGTGATTGATATTGACGCCGGCTAGTTTTTCAACAAATGGCTCGCATTTTTCTACACATAAACTGTAATATATAATCCAGTGTTGCATTATTCAGCAACTTTATATTAAATTAATTAATTATTTTTTATTCTGCAATTTTACATTATATTTTCAAAAATATTTCCGCTTTTCTTTCTTTTACTAAGAAAAATCTTGATGTAACAAGTATGAATCCAAGCTGCTAATAAAAAGTCGCACCTCCATCGTCGCAGTAACGATGCGTCTTGATAATCTCACCATCACCGCTCGTGTAAGTTATTGATCACCAGACAGTTATTGATCACCAAGTTTTATGAGTCTCTCCTTAGGGTAATGTCTGCGCTTATGTGAGCTTTTGCTACTAACTCGCTTACACTTCCTTTTTCTTTAAACATAGCGAATGTTACCAGCAAACATTAATTAATTTGTTTACAAATCTGCTCGTTAATTTCTCTTATTTATCTTCTCTAATATGCATTCCGGTCATGAGAGCTGCAGCGTTATAAAGACTTAATTGTATTATGATGCAAAGCTTTGGCATCTCGCCAGGAACTGTCAAGAACTATACATACATATATGTATAATATGTGTATGTATATATGTGAAAATACTTAACATACAATCGAGCACTTGATCTCTATTATTGTCTGAAACTTTTTATACGTATATCGAGACAATAAACCATATAATTAAAAGAAGAGAATACGCTATAAGTTTTCAAACAAAATGGGATAAATCTTCTTTCTCTCTAAAAAAAAAAATACGAAATGATTAGTAAGCTTGAATAAGTATTACTAACTCGGCTATACGATGAATTTCAACTGTGTCTCAGAATAAACTTTAATTCACTATGATCAAAAGAAAGTGCAAAATTTTAACGAATCATGATCGCATTATGTTTGAATAATACACAGGTATATTCGTGAGTTTAAATAAAAAATTAAGTCCTTACTGCTACGTAAATTGTTAATAAAATAACAGCATTGAACGAAAAAATATATAATCTATTTTGTAAATAAATTGCAAATTTTTAAGTTTACATTATCATGCATTAAGAGAATCATATAAGTTATATTTTACAGTTAAAGAAGTGAAATTATGTAAATATTACCTTATCTCCTAAATGTTACATATTGTTTTCGCAATAAGGCACGTTTTAGTTTTAAATGAATGAAGACCTCTCGTAGTTATATGCGCGAGATACATGTAAATTATTCTAAAATTATATGCAAGAAGGGAATATGAGATCGGTGCGATATCGTAAGCGCAAACTCAGCAAGTAAAAATGTAGTCTTTACGATGAATAAATTTACCAGGCAGAGAGAAAAAGAGAGAAAGGGGCGGCGGGGGAGGGAGAAAGTAAGAGAAAAAAAGAATGGAAAAAAAAAACAAAAAATTCTACGTTGAAAAAGGGAAACCGTGAGACTATAGTTAAATTTCTTTCATCTAGCGAATGGAGATAATCCGGGTAAATGGAAAACACATTCCACAAATCGCATTTTCGCATTCGAGGCGTTTCGATGCGCTGCCAAAAATGCAGTTTCACTCGCTAATGGTTATGATGTAATTCGATTTCGAATAGCGGAGTGTTACAACGTTCCTTTGACCACGCGCGGATCAGTTGTCTGTGGCAGTTAATGGAATGCATTATATGTACGGCCACACACGGTCTATGCATTAATATCACGTATGCATGTTTACAAACTTGCATAATATTTTTGCACTCGTTTAATTAATTAAATTTGTAATCTCTGCGACATACGCATTGTTACTGCAGGTGCATATTATATAAATGCGTATATCATAACAAACTGACTGCGATATTGCGAAGAAGAACATTTTATGTCATATATGTATTTTATATCTTTTAATGCACAGCTTGATAACAATCCCATTTCAAAGTTAATGAATGGAAACACACATAATGTATCTCGTTATTGTAGCGATACATAATCCCGAAAATATAAATTAGAATGAGTAAACGCCGCAAACAAAAAATTTATAACTTTCCTAATGACGCGTAACATTACGCATTATTGCCACGATTTAATTCATTAAATGATGAAAGACGGACAGAAAAGACAACAACGGACAGAAAAAAGTTTGTGGTTTTATTTTCCTGAATGAGTAATTCAAGAAATCTGAACGGAGCACGAATCGTTGATTTAACGTGCTAATTCTGCAATGTTCGATATGCGCCGCTCCTGAGTGATATTTATATCCTTATTGCCCCCATTTTATCACAATCGGGTGATTATTTTCTCAACAACGCTCAACGTATCGATGCTTATATATTACAGAAAAACATTTTATCGCAAGAGATGCTGCGTATTTTTTTTTTGTAAATAAATTATATTCCATCGATACCGTGAACATTCGTGCGTCTTTGGTTTTCTCTCTTTCCGCCGATATTTACACAGATCTCTATAGTGATCGTAATTTACGGCGCGTTTCCGTCGGGAATCTCTTGAGCAATGACCGTACCAACCGACTTCCTCTTAGATAGACCACTGACATTCAACTGCGGCACGAAGCAATGTTCCTCGCGATAATGGTACACATCGATCGCTCTAAATTGTCGAACATCGAGATTAATACCCTACCCTATCGCTTGTAGGATAGACACGAGGCAGAAAAGTGCAGGACAAATTTCGTTACCAAACTCATCCATTCCACTGTTCTTTATGCTCTCCGCTTGTCTCGTCGATAATCTCATGCAGCCCTCGTTTTAGGGGTTTATCATGAACTATATAATTGAGAGGACATTCCAGAGAGGATAAAATAAATAAAATTATTGATAATTATCGGTTATCGATGTTATCAAATCACATTAATATAGCGTTTAAGCAATTATGTTAATAGTGATATATTATCGATGTTGTCAGTTTAAATTCGGAAGTACTTACTGAAGCATTTCGAGGGATATGATTTAAGTGGTTTATTTATGCTAGAATTTCACAGAGAAAAGAGCTTGGTTCACAGTAATATAAAAGCAGCGCGGAAGAACAGTAGTACAAAAGTATATAAAAGTAATAGGATCTACTACAAATACCTCGTACTACTCCCGGAGAAAAGATGTGCCATTAACTTGGAAGATGTTAGGCGGTTTAATTTCGTACTGTATCACTTTCTTATGTCCAGATCGTGTGTCTGTTATTTAGATACTGTATAAATCTTTGAGATGAATTAATTTTTATTCCGTGCTTTTTTGTGTGTGCAAGTATTTTATCATTGTATTAGGTATTTGTATTAAGAAAATTAAAATAAAATTCTTAAAAAACTTGTTCATCGATCGTAAAGAATTTATTTTGCTATTGTAACTTTGTCTAGATGTACAATAATTATCTATTGTGAACGTGCAATAATTAACGATAACGTCACCGGAACTCCCGCAGTAAACGTTGCCTGACATGAATACATAATATCAACTTAACAGACTACCTCAAGAGTTGCAGGATAATGGCATCACGATCTTGATTATGAGAAAATGAGAATTATAAAATTCTAAGAAAGAAAGAAAGAGAGTGAATAAGATAATTTAAGTATTAAATTCTATAAAATTGAAAAAATATATATATCTACTAATGACAGCGATAATTCATATGACAAATTTTCTTTTCACTATTTTATTCAATTAGATCGTCGCTAAATTTGTTTATAAATTTGTTACTTCTTTTCTCAGCAATTTTAATAATTTTGAAGATTACGATTTGCATCCCGCTCATGCAATACATGTTCTATTAATTTTATTATAAATGCATGCTCTGATGTTCATTAAATTACTAGAATACATAAATGAGGATACATGCTCTTACATAGGAAGTTTTCATCTGTCAGCTACAACTATTGCTGCCGCTATTGCTGCATCTAAATTAGACAAGTTAAGAATAAATAACGAGACATGCTAAATTTCTTGAAAATTTCAGGGAAACGTATGGAAAAGCCAGCAGGCAGGTAATTACAAGGCAGGCCAACCAGGTAGGCAAACAAGCAAAGCAAGCAAGGCAGGCAGGCAGGCAGGCAGGTAGGTTTTCTCCTCAGCGACCTGCGATGCGGGAAGGACAGAAAGCGCGGTAGTTTGATAGGGAGGATGGAAAACACGCGCAGGCGTCTCCGCTGCCCTCCATCGTGGCGCCTCCACCCTCCGCGCATCCCCCTTATGCCGTCGGACTCACCCTCGCTCGGGTGCCTTCCTCGTCGCTCTCCTCTCCTCACCGCCGCCTCGGAGCGTTGCTCGTTGCGCCTCGGTCAATCCGCGAGCAGTATGGCGCTACGCGCTCTGGCACGGCAACGTACGTAGCCGTTACGTCGTTCGCTATGTATCCGTGTACCCGTCGACGATCTGCCGCATCCCTGACAGAGTGAATCCGCGCGCGAATTACGGTTGTCAGTCTCGCGCGATTAGGGTGTACTTTTGGCATACCAAGGGAGCGAGATCGCGGAGTAGAAAATAAGAAACGACAAAGGGCCACGTAGCGAAAACGATTTTGCAAAGCCACGGTGAAGAGAAAATGTTCTAAAAATGCGATTTTGAGGGAGCGAGTTTTAAAGGGCGACGCGCGAGTTAATATGCAACCGCGGGCACCGCGTCCGACCCGACGGCGGCCGTAGATGACGCCGGATAAACGTGAGCCCAGTGAGCGCGTTGCGGTGACGAGAGAGGCTTCCCTCCACAACGTGCGATAAGTAAACGATAACTGGCGATCGAGGATGACGGGCCCCGCGACGCTCGGCATTGACATCGGTACCAGCGACGCCAACGCGGCAACGATCGTGAAGACAACGACGAAGGCGGTGATAGTCGCGAATTTTCGGATCGGTTTCACGTGTTCGCGTACCGCTTAGAACACCGACGATATGACATTAGGGCTGCGAACAGACTTATAAAAGAACGTTACGTTTATATGCAAAATTCGCTGGCAAGTGCTGTGAGAGGGTACACGGACACGGAGGTTCAGGCAGCACCAGCTGATCGCCGATAAACGCAACGAGACGCGCGGGGCATGTCCCTGATTAATTAATACCGCGTGTTCACGTCTCACGTTGACAATTTGTGGGTGATCCATCCCTTGGACTACAATAGAGCGACGAATTTGCAAGATGGCATGTCCATTCTCACGCTTCAAACAAACGTCGGTTCAGATAACGTCGTCGATTTTAGGAGAAGATGGTGACGACCTTGAGGACACACAGACACTTAACTTGAAGCACCTAAGAGCCGCGGTGACCCTCTTGACTAACCCTTCGGTATTAAATAAACGACAACTTTATTCCTTCAGCTTTCGCTATACCGCCGCATTACACAGTCCACACCTCTGATCTCTCGTCGCAGCGTTGCTTTCACCACTGTTCAGCATGTACCTGTTTAATATCTTGTTGACGTCGTAGCAAAACTTATACAAATAGATGTTGCATGCATCGTCCCCCAAGCTTTTAGATGAAAGCGGAAAGACCTAGAGAGAGAGACCGCGTAAGAAATAGTTTTAACGCGCAAAGGATCAGCTGGCTCTTATACGGCTTTTCTCTCGATGAGTTCAAAGTCGGATTAGTGCAGGCGGTGACACGCAATTGGTTCAAGCTCGTCCGAGGTTTTATTCCACTTTGCCGTCTGTGTACACTCCTCCCTGTTTGCGAATTTCCTCCTTCACCGTTCTCCCGCCTTTAAAGCCGGTATAACCGCAGATTTGGATTGTGACCGAGTTCCGTTTTCAAAGACGGCACAACCGATCGTGATAAACGAGACGCCCGAATTGAGGTCGTTTTGACGTGCAGTACCAGAGCGTCGGATAGTCGAATTTATATTTATCACATCGACCCAAATGTCGACGCGGATAAATTGAGACGACATTTGCCTTAATTTAACTGGCTGCGCCCTAAAGAACGCGAGATAAATTATTATGAGAGTCAACAACGTTTTACGAGTACTTTGATCCTCCATCCTTCCTAATAGACCAGCAAAATTACTTTCGCTGCCCTATTACGGGACATGTACACTGATAATAATGCGCATTTTTGTTAATAATCATTTACAATACTGCACGAACTCTTAGAATACTCCCACATCCTCTTCTTCTTGTAAAGAAACCGCTATCAAACTTTCCGCACGATAAACGCGCGCGCGGTTACGGAGAATCACTATGGGAATCGGGACAGTTTTTCATTGAGAACTAGGTCAGAAATATGTAATAAATCCCAACGAAAAGTTTCCTGCCGCTGCCGTTAGAGAGAAAGCAGGAGTTTCCAAGTTCCTCCTCCGCGCGGAAGCAAACCGCGTTAGCGACTCACGCGAACGGCCAATGTTTTCAAACCTTGTCTTGCAGAGGTATAGAGCTTCAAACTAAAGCCTTTTGCATTAAACTTGGCACGAAAGTCTTGTCTCTTCCGCTAATGTGTACTTCTTTCATATAATGCTTTCATAATGCTCTCCTCGCAGCTTTAGAACTTACGTGATGAATTATTACGCAGTAATAAGCAACTTGAAGGAGATATGAAACATATTATTGATGTTTATCACTGATGTAGCCGCAGTAATTTCGTTAAGCCATTCGTGATAAACATGAATAATAGCTTCTTAACACGAAACACAAACCGATGTTACTTCGTAAATAATCTCTTTACGAAAAGATAAGATTAGTTTCTGATACATTTTAAAGAGCATACGCCCCGCTGGGTTAGGTCGTACTGGTTTCATCGTCGAGATAATATCAGCCCCGATTATTGAAATGCGGCAATTCGACGAATTTTCCATCGCTATCCAATCACGTTGGATCGATTCCCATCGCATGATCGTACCTGTAGTTGGCAAATGTCATTGGTATTTCAGGGAGTTAATAGCGTTTGATGGCAGATTAAGGAAGACGAGAACGTGGCACTTAGGATGATAACGGCGTGTGCAAATCCAAGAGGTGTTAAGCCATATACACAGGTCACTATCAGCATTCGATATACAACGAGTGAAGTGGAAATGAATAGTGCCTCGCAAGAATAGGCACGGAAACGAAACGTGACGCGAAGTTCATATTAACGGATAAAATCGAACGCGTTCGAAACGATACTTGTTGACTACGTTGTATTATATTATAATTTTGTGCGATAGAAACCGTCTCCTTTCGTAAAAAACAGATTTTTTGTTTTTCCCAAAATTCTACTATTAAACAGACGTAAAATAATCAATTATTATAATGACTAAAAATAATTATAATAATTTTAAACACAAAAACGACATTTAAAGGTACCAATTTGACAAATAGATATAGAGTTTTCGACAAATTGGACAAATATATCAAAGTATATAAAAATTCAATACATTGTAATTCGAAAAACCATGTATACCAATAAAATGCACAGATTGCAAAGCGGCATGATATGTAGACTAAACTAAGCGCCAATTAACAAAAATGACTGAACATAAAAAAATATTCTCAAAGATTAAATACTTTCCATCAGCTCTCAATATTTCATCACAGTCATCACAGACCACATTTTGAAATCAAACCACATAACATTGATTAATAAAATGTAGAAATTTTTCAGGAGTCATCTTATCACAAGTGCCTATATATAATACTCCGCATAAAACTATAAAAAAACGAAGTAAACTTCAGTTTAATTCGTTAAAGGTCAAAACCGGCGTTGAAAATCGCAATCAAGTATAAGTATAATTATTTTGTACCATAGAATTTGATTAATTGCATAAACAGTCGCGCCCCAGATTCCTACTGGCCATCGATTTGTAAACTGCGACATAATAATTAATTACTTTACTCACCTAAATAGATAAAGTCAAGAGAGCTAAAATAAACGCAATAAACGTCTTAAGGGGAAATGTCTTTTTGTCTTCTTCCTTTCTTCGATTGATAGCAAATAAATATAATTGGAGATTTTTTGCGCGGGATCTAGAATAAATGAAACTCTGCGGTTAACGGCTCATATTGGATTAAAGCCGCTCTGAATAAATATTACTGAGACGGAGATTCGAAGGAACAAATCAGGGGTTTCATTATATCGGTTGAACTTTCGTGAAAGTTCAAGCGAGACAATGGACTGCGAAGCGTGAGTTCCGTTTAATTCACGTGATGATATATATAACGTCTCTAATATTCTAATTGACAAGTGCAACGGAAAATTTCCAATGAGACTGAAACTTTCGTCTTCAATGCAGCGAACGGCGGCACGTCTCTCCGCGTGTCCGTGGAAATTCTAGTCGTTCTATTAAATACCTCGCTTTTCGAATTCGACGTAACAGCGTAAACTGGAAGTCCATTAAATATATGGCTATTTGAAAATTATAACCGCAATTTTAGAATCCGATTGCCAATTCGCAGTAATGCAGTTACGGCCAGAGTTTCAATTTCAACGCTTGCGATATTCTACCGGTGCCATGAAAATCAATAAACCATACAGAATTCTAAATGAGACTGTTGAAACTTTTAACACTAATACAAAATATATATGAGTAACGCGGCCAGGTGTACGTTTGCATAAAAATGTTATAATTTCGTTAACTCGAGGGAAAACCTTCGAGAATCTAACGTTCTTTGTTCGCGCCCGTAAGTACTATAAGTTTTTGGAATTGTACGTTCCTCGGATTTTTTTTTTTTTCAAAAAAAAAATCGACGAGTCACGTACTTCGAGATGACGTAGAAACGAGTATTCGGCGCGCAGCTTCAAGCTAAAAGGGTCAAGAGCAATTAGTCTGGGAGAATGGAGAACACGAGATTGCTTTGCAACGTGTATACATAGCCGAATATTCCTTCGTTCGTCGCAAACAGTGCTTGATGTGGCAAACAGTTTCCCGAAAGCGGATGAATAAATGACCGCGAAGGGCGAATGTTACGAATCGCTAATGTGCCGTGGAGAACACGGCACTCTAAGGGTGCAGGTGAACGCTGTAGATCCGAAGTAAGGGTTAGGTGCTATTAACCCAGCAAAACGCAGCCTGGCAGTGCGCTACGTCTTTCTATCAGCTTCCGTTTTAATCTTTCCAAATGAAAAGAGAGATCTCGCCAAGGACGACCCAAGATATTTCTGGTATAATGGATGTCATCGCGCACTTTTCTTTATCGAAGAACCGATATTTTATGATAGCTTCTCACCAGCTCGACATGACGCGAGCATTAAAAAATAAAATCCATATATACCCTATATATGAACCATTATATATCGATACCAGGAGAATTAACACAGCGTAAAAAAGTAGATCGGATATATCGGCTGGATATATCTACTGTGTACGTGTGTACGTATGCGCACGCGTATATGTGTATGTGGATAGAGAGAAAAGGTGCTGTAAAATCGGAATTGGATTTTACGAGCACAATACCTGCGCGCAACGCACCGTAGCGGTGGAAAAGGCGGATTTGCAAATTCCAAATGCAATTAATCTAACGAGCGCGGTATCAAGATATTGTTTCTGCAGGTGGCTTTCGATCATCGCGCTCTGCCAATTATTATTATTATTATTTTTTCAACGTCGTAGAAGAGTGCAAGACGAACGCAAATGCGGTGCCGTCCAACGAAGAGAAGTCGACGAGGAGAGAAAAGACGAAGTAGTTATACGCCGGAGAAGTACGGTGCAACCACTATTTCTCACTTGTCAGAGCAATTGAAATTTTTACAGTGGAATGTCGAGAAATTCCTTTGTGCGCTCTAAAGGAGCTGCTCGTAAACGAGCATTAAGTAGATTATCCCGCCTAATCCCGGGGCGAGCGGCGGTATTAAACGAGCCATTTCTAACGGCGGCTTCTTAAACGCTGGCTGGGCTCTGTGTCGTGAGAAACGCCCGTTCGCAGCCCGCGAGAAACTTCAGTAGCACGTAACTTACTTATCGTGCTTGACCCAATAATGGTGTACCTCGATCGTCCGTTCGGTGTTTAGAAGCACTATGATGTATCATGCGGCTTGCGTTAATCGAGAGATCGGGAGCTGATACCGGGACGTGGATTTAACGGGCGTTTTACCTCACGCGGGAAATTTACTAAAATAATAATGTAATATCGACGATTCGGACATTAATTACGATTTAATAAACGTCGTATCAGAGGAAATGACGGGCGAAATAGATATATTCAGATTTGATGTCCCGCGTTTTATTAAATTTCACCCGGATGCCAGATGCGCGGAATATTTTTAACACAATATTTCTGCGTCGAATTATATCGCTCGTAGCCGATGCGTGATATTAATATTTCAAGCTTTCTCCCCTCCCCCAGCCCTCTTCCCCCGCGAATAGCCACCGCGTATCCGAC